GGTGCGTAATTCTTCTTCTTGGGTTTTTCACTGGGGGAGGGTGAATGTGCGACGGTGCTGACCAGCGGGTTGCTGTAGATGGCGCTGTTGGGCGAGATGACGATGTTGCCGACGAATCCGCCCGGGAAGTTGATCATGCATAAGGTACGTCTTTCTCTTCATTTTCCCTGCTTTCCTCTCACCCGTGCTACCGTGTCCCCCAGGACCCCCACACCGTCGATCCCGTCACCCATCTCACCCACACGATCTCCTACGCCGCCCAATCACCCTGGCTTCGGCATCAATCGATCAAAGAAAATATCCTGTTTGGGTATCCGTATGATGAGAAGAGGTACGAAGAGGTCGTGGAGAGCTGTGCGTTGGGTCCTGATTCGAAAATATTGGAGGATGGGGATGAGACGGAGATTGGCGCGAGGTGGGTTCTTTTTTTCTGACGCAGTCCGTCGATAGGGCTTGAAATAGGTTCGGCGATGAGTGCTGATTGAATTGCTTCTATGCCGATAGTAGGGGAGTGAGTCTCTCGGGTAGACAGAAGGCTAGAGTGGCACTTGCAAGAGCAGTGTATGCGCCAACGAAGTATGTGCTTTTGGACGATCCGTTGAGCGCTGTGGTACGTATGCTCCATTCCGATATATTCTGCTCACCTACCTAGTCTATCGATCAACGCTAACTCGCGGCAAACCTACAGGACATCGCCCGCTTTCTATTCGAGAAACTCCTCAAGGGCCCATGACGCCGCAGGGTAAGTTCTTACTTTTTGCTCGAGTATATGTGATGGGCTGGAACTGATCGGTGTTGGCTATGTGTCGGTCGAATGCTGAATAGGTTCAGTAAAATACGAGATAGGCTATATTACGGACATAATATGCGCAACGCTCACCGGGTCATAATTATACAGGATGTCGAGACGGTAGACTCTTCCCTGGCAGGTTCGCTCCAAGCCGTCAACACCTCCCTCTCCACGTTCGCGGCCTCAGTGCTCACTGTGGCATAAGTAACTCCTTTGTATGCCCCTTTTGTGTACTGTTGCAAAGGTGCGCTGTTTCGTTTCTTGTGTGCGGCTCTTCGTGCCATTTCACTAACGGTTCCACCACTCCTGAAATCATCGCCTTCTTACGATCTCAGCACCAGCACCCTGTCTCCCCTCACCGGAGGCGGAACCCTCAACGGCACGCACCCTTGTCGTCCAGGACGACGTCCTCTATATCCGCGGAGAGTTCAACATGGTCGACTCTTCGTCTTCTACCGTCTATGGTCTCGCGATCTATGACCTCATCAACCGCAGGTGGCAGATCTCGTCGCTTCAGGCTTTGGGCGCTGGTCCACCTCGATTGATGACACCGTTGTGATATCCCCTGGACACTCTTCTCTCGCCGCGAAGACGCTCTCAACAAGTACGATGTCGGTGTCGCAGGGGAAGAACGCGATCAATCAGCACATCGCACTGTCCATCGCTCCTCGCACACATCAACGCAGCCACACGCACCACCATCCTCGGCACCCAAAGCCCCTTCGACCAGTTCAACCACGAGAAGGAGGTGCCTCAGCGGCTAACCACCGTGTCAACACCCGTGAGCAGGAGCTGGACGACCAGGACAGGGGGTCATACAGCGCTACAAACGCCCCGCCGTGGGTTATACCGGTGGCCTGGATGAGTTGACCTAGCGGCTGCTCGTGGCCTCCGCCGACGACGCGAAGCTGTGGCAAGTCTGGTACAAGGTGCGTTTTGTCGTATCCACCGCTGGACTCCAGCTCATGCCCTCTTCTCTCAGCCTGGCAGAGAGCGCGACCTCGTACTTATTCTGTCTCATGCGCAAAGCCGTATACTTCGAGTGCACGAACCACTCACTTCAATTCACCCCCGCCTCCCAGCGCAACTTACCGAGAACGGATCCGCGTGTATGGCATTTTTTTCGGACGACTATGCGCCCGTGAAGAAGAAGCCTGTGCGTCTTTTCCCTCTCTCCCTTCCTCCTCTCTTCTCTCTTCCACTCGTGCCCTTACACGATATGACCAGCCACGAAATTGACATTGTGCTGCAGCCAAACCTGGCGCAAAACCGAAAGCCGTGAAACCAGTGTTTACGAAGAGGGTGACCCCGAAGAAGAAAGCACCGCTCTTCCACGTAGACTCCAATGCGGACCACGATATGATGATGGATGACGAGGATGGAGGCGAAGGTTTGACAGAAGGCGACGAGGGCTGCTCCTGCGGCGATTGATGGAAAGAAGAAGAACACAACGGGGCTGTATCAGAAGGTGCGTTCCTTACTCCCTCGCTCCCGTCTGGTCTGAGCAGTACGAGTTGCCGTTGCTGTCGTCGTTGTTGCCAACTCATCCGGTCTGCCACAGCTACCCCGGCCCCAAACGTATCCTCAAACACCTCGATTTGGACATCGGTTCCGCCGAGACAACTACCCAGAATATATGGACTCATGATTGGGCTACAAAGTGCATGGTCGTTCGCGATGTGAAGTACGTGCCCGGTTTCATCAAGATTGTGGACGAAATTTTATTTAATGCTGCTAACAACAAAGTGAGTCTTACTTCTCTACATCTTTCGGAGTGTTCGATATCGCTACGCGTCCGGGGCGAGGCCTCTCAAAGCGCATACATGCTGTCTGTTCTGCATACAACCAGCATGTAGCTCAGTATTCGTGGAGTGAACGCCCTTCGTTCCTGACCAACTGTCACAACATCTCCACAACCCGTACTCACACCGTCCCTCCCACCAGATCAACGACCCCAACGGAAATGTCATCAAAATCGAATTTGACGTCCCCAACTCCTCCATCTCCCTCTACAACAACGGGCGTGGCATACCCATCGAGAACCACCCCAAGGGAAAGATCTACATCCCCGGGATGATCTGCCGCCACCCCCTCCCCTCGTCCAACTACCACCACGACGGCGAGAAGAAGCGGACGAAACGGTTACGGTGCGAAGCTTGTGAATATCTATTTGCACGAGTTCACGGTGGATACGCTGGATAAGAACACGGGACTTGGAAGAAGGTGGATGAGCGTAAGGAGCAGTTGAAACGGTGGAGGGCGCGTATCCTCCGCCCCGAACCTTTTCATGTTAATGCAGATGACTGACCTCGTTGATATTTGTGCCCAGCGCCAAACCTTTTTGACTACGATATCGACGAGATCTCGATCAGCGACATTGTCATGAACGAGCTCATCCTGTTCTTGTATGTGGATAACGTCCGGTTTATCCCTCGTGTTGCGAATGTAATGAGCCTGGCCAGAGGAAGGTCATCTAAGGTTGCTTCAGGCGTAAGAGGAGAACCGAAGTCGAGGTACGCCCCTTCGACTCCCCTCACGGGCAGACAATATTCCTTCATCTCATTTCCTGTGCACCAGCTCGCCCAACTCGGCTACATCTTCGAACACGCCACCTGCTATCACGGCGAACAGTCCCTGACCCGAACGATCGTCAACCTCACCCAGGACTACGTCGGTGTGACCAACCTGAACCTGTTCATGCCGAGCGCGGAGGTGATATTCGAGCAGGAGATAGGGGTGGGCTATCTGATTAAACATGTACGGATGCATCTTCTCAGGTAGTATCCAAAGGGGATGTGGGTCAGTTCGAGCAATTATGAACCACGGGGGTATTGGAGTGCGGGGTGTCAGTTAGTCGCTGTAGATTGACGGAATTGTGGTACGGTTTCCCCCGCTTTCTTCTGGTACATTTTCTTTGAGGTGGGGTCGCTGATGGGGTTTGTGTATAGATCTGGTGTATGTGATCGATTATTGTATACTCCAGGGGAATGGGACGTCGGGATGGGTCTTCAAGCCGCTTGTGCTTGGGACGACCAACAAGAGCTCCCGGCGAAATGCACCCTGCACTTCCTCGAGATCACCGTGCGTTTACGTTCATTTGCTCCCCTCATTCCTCCACCGACGGCTAATGACTTCGTAGATCATCTCGGCCGAGCAGCTCCCCAGACCGAAGGGTGGCGCCCATCATGGATCCCTACGCCGAAATTTCCGCCCACATACCTGATTGGACCCAATTGCAACACGAGCACCAGAGCGACGACGCCTATGCTCACGCCTGCTGCCATCAGCGATCGACTGTCGGAGGAATGCTCAGAGATCGAACTTTCGACGCTAGAATCTAAACAACGGTATGTATCACACCACCCCTCTGCGGTCCATCCCTCAGACATATATTGCTTTCTAACTACTAATTTATCGCATACAGCCTGCTCGCGGATGCACACTACCTTAACTTCGAAATTCTCGGCCCTCGAGAATGTAACAGTGTTCCCCGCACAGAATGCCAAGCAATACAAGAGCGACGGAGTCTCCTCACATGTGTTCCCTGATTTCTCCGGCCATCTCGACCGTCACACCATCTCCTTTCCGCGTCCATCTTCCTCAGGGGGTAAAGAACGAGCGCCCTGAAAGGAAGGTCACAAATAAAACAAACACACCTAAAGTTCCCAATCCCCGATTCAAAAACACACCGGTACAACTCCCACTCGTCCTTCCAGAGCTGCTTGAGATAGCTACCTTTCGCCCGCGCCTATTCCCATCCATCCATCCATCCATCAGTTCGTGAGCTCGTTGATGTATTCGTCGACGAGGTCTTCACGAGCATGGGTGCGGTCATTTGAGTTCCCGAGACGCGTTCCAAGCGGAGCAATGCGGGTACATGCGTGAAAAAAGCAGCACAAAATGAGCTTTCTCTACCTCGATAGCACAGTACAGCGAAAACCGATCTCATGGACTGTGAATTGAGAATGATCACGATGGATGAATAGAAAAACAAAAGAGTCAGACGTACTACCTCGACGAGCCCCCTCCTCCCTGCTAACCCTCTCACGACCTCGATCAACTTTCTCAATGTGATCCCTTTCCTCGCCGTGAATGACGCTGGTGGACACTGCTAGATTTGAAAGCCATCAATGTGCATCAGCAATTATATTACAACAAATACACACGAATCCGGCCGCGGAATAGTGTGGCGCCCACGTTTGAGCATTACAAACGACCAAGTGACGAGATCGCAAACTTTCGTGGAGAAAGAAATACCGTACACAGAGTCGGGAGGGAGGATAGGAAGAACAGATGCGGAGACGTACCTGTAACGAAGTAGCCAACTGGGCCAGCGAGATGCGATGACGATCGACTCTTGAGCTCCGAGAGCGGAGCCAGTCGATGCAGAACGGGCTGAAAGCCGGTGAGGAGGAGGCAAGCCCGTGCGGTCTAATAGACGTCCTGTAGATCATGGTATATAGGCAGTGAGTAATTGTGAGTAATATGGCGAGGAGAAGGAAGACAAGGGGACCGGGAGAAAACGGTGTGGCGTGTCGCAAACTTTGTGGCGCAGGTACGATGGACGTGGCGATCGTAGGCACGAAACGTACCTTCTCTGACGAGCTCCGTGTGATATACTGCATGAACGCACATAAAGCTCGGAAGGATATGTTGATGAGCGTCGTTGAATTAGTAATGTGTTGTGGAAAGCGGAGGACGATGTATTTCGCGGGAGTGGCGCTATAACATCGCACGTGTCAGCGATAGAGGGTAAGTTGGGCGTGGATAAGAGGAAGAAGAGATGGGGAGTGACATACATGGAACCGGAGAAAATCGATGCAGCCGTCGACGCGTTCGACGGTGTACAGGAAGTCCGTCTGAAGGACAAACGAGTCGTCCGGATGGTATAACGTCCTCGCCGTGTTCTCCAATTCCTAAAGGTATGTGAGACTCGCGTCCTGCATCTCCCCCAAATAGTTGTAGGGCAGCATACACGCATATCAGCGCTCCTCAGACAACCGGGGCCAAAGGAGAAGCGAACTGACCATCTCTTCCAAAAATCTCTGAGAAACCTCCTGGGAGGCCCTCCCTCCCTCTACGCTCCTCCACTCAAGCACCACTTCCTTATCATCTGCGTCTGTCTCCTCAATCCTCACCACTAGCATTTCACATACCCACGACCAATCCTCCCTTCGGATAATCCCTCGACTGCGACTCTTGACTGCGCGACGGAGTACACGGTAAGGATGAACCAGTCGTAGAAGTGTTGCGTGGCTTTTGTATGAAGGATTTTGGATGGAGGTGAGCGTATGGGCGCGAAGTGGAGGATATGGAAGGTGTAAGGCCGGAAAGAGGACGTAGGACGTGGAGGATGAGATACCAGGTCTTGAGGAACGGGATATTATCCAAACCTTACGGAGCGAAGAGACATGGGTGATATTAAATTGGCTCCTTCGACTCTAAACGACCCGTCATCGCGTGTTAGCTTGAGCGGAGAGAGAGAAAGCGTAGCGAGACAAGTAAACGGACCTTGAAACAGGAATGAAGGCCTGTAGAGCGCGGCTTTGACAACCGCTACACTCGATTTCTCTAGGTATCCGAGGAGTGCCTTAGATTCCTATTATTCGATGGAACTCACGGACGGTTGGCTGCTCGATGGTTGTGAGCGATGAGCGAGAGTGCGTCGGGTGGCGCGCCTCTCCGGTTCGATGAACGCATCATCGCCATTTGGTTTTGTCCTTCATCCATTTGGAATTTGTCCTCGACGGAGTACGATGAGGTTTGAACGGGAGGTTGTCGCTGTGGTATGAAGAGGTATAAGCTATACCTAGAGTAGCAGAGCGTTGAGGCCGTTGACGGTTGAGAGAGTTGAAGGCTGATTTAGGTGTACTTCTCCAAGTATGCGTCCGATCGCTTACCCGCGTCCATCTGCATCTCTCGCTTCAGGTTCTCCAACAGGGTCGCATTCCGTCGCATTCCGCACGTATCGCCCACAGGAGAGACTGCCACAACCGTCTCCCTTATACAGGAGCTGGTCCAGCAGCCGCTCTGGTCCTCAGTGACTCTCACCAAGGACCCCCAGTTCTATCGCAAGTCGGGCGACACGTTCGGAATTTTCTTTGCAGAGTTCGCGGACAATGCTACCGACCACACGCTGCGCGCTGTTCTCAAACAGCCTGTTTACCTCAACGGAGAGTACTGCCGACCTGTTAAGGCGTTCGACTCCAAGCCTCCGGTGCCCTTCTGCGGCTGTTGCCAACGTTGGGGCCACCGTGCGCTCTCCTGCAGATCCCCGACCAAGAACTGCCCACGATGCGGGCTGTCCCATGATGAACGCCAACACGATCGACATTGTCCCTCGTGTGTGGCATCCCCTGTCGCAACGGGTGTGTGTTCGCACGCACCAAAGTGCCACAATTGCGGTGGGCCACACCGGGCTGATTCGCGGGAGTGTGCTTTCTTCATCCATTGGAGGGATTCCGAGTGGATTCGGAAGCATGCTCCTAGCCGCCGCTCACCACCGAAGTCTCGCGAGAAGGGGGCACCTGCTCCCTCCCAAGTCAATCGCCCTACCAGGCCCCGAGTAGAGGACTATTTGGCTGGGGCATCGTCGGAAGACAGAGGGGTGTTTGATTCTCCTTTTGATGGTCCGCCACCAGTGAAAAAGGCGAAATCGAGTAAGAAGAAGTAGTTGGGTTTCTTCTCTGTTGTCTTCATGCATGGCCATTCTACGATAGTTGTGTCTCATATCCCCCGTCCCGTCGGACATCACTTGAACGTTCGATACTTCTCTTTCGAAATAACAGACAGTATTCTGAGTAGGTACACACTTTCACGGACTCAGTCGACAATTGCTCTTCTTGTATGTATCTACCTACCATACAAAGCGCCCCTGGCAATTTGCCGGCACTATATAAATTCGTTGAATCAAAAAAAAAAAGAAGGCTGATTTAGGGTCGAAGCCGAGGCAGCCGGAGACTCTGAAGACGCAGAGTGGGGCGACGACGACTTGCGAGTAGGTGACAATGGCTCCTGGGGAGTATCTATCATGATGTGCATATATCCGATAAGTTTAAACTAAGGTAGACAGAGGTAGACCGACAAAATTGTGACGAAGGATAAGGTGTAGCGAAGAATCGCTGGTCGGAGTTTGTCAGAGTCTTCGGCCATAGCCGCGTGGACTATTTTCAGACGTCGTTCGATGCTAAGTAACCCGCAAGACTTGCGGCCTCTTCTGATTTCTTGTGGTGACCGTGAAAATTCGCCTGATACTTGTTCTCTGATGGCGGGACTCTACGAGTACTCTAATGAATCGGGCGCGAAATGGTTTCGTCTTGTCATATCCAACCCCCAGCGGGTCATCTCCCAGTCACCAAAGATTGCTCCTTGCGACTATGGGTGCGCTGCCACCTGTTGTCTACCGCAACGTCCGACTATGCTTACACTGTGTGATGAGGCTTGCATGCCCCACACACTCTCCAAGCGAAGGCACACGTGAACTGTGTCTCATTAAGCAAGTTGACACATCCTATCGTTCTATGCTGGGAATCGATGAGCGTTTCATCTATACTCCAGGTGCTTATAAGAGGTATATGATGTATTCCCCATGACATCGACTCAGGGGGAGTACTCTCAGGTTTTCCTCATTCAATCCCCCTCTTACTCGTCCAAGGATGTCTGCATATTCTACATTCGCCATCGCACCTTGGAACGCCGATCACCAATGCCTTCCTCCTGAAGAAAGCGTCAGGCAAGGCCAAGGACGTCGTCATTCTTACTCGCTCAGTAAGTCGTCCTTGTCTCTCATGATCATGATCACATACTGACCATGTTCCCATTCTAGTCGTCTAACAACCTGAAGACCAACCAGCTCGCCGCCAAAGGTGCAACCATCATCTCCGTCAACTACAACGCTCCCTCAGCCCTCTCCCAAGCGCTCTCCAACGTCGACGTCGTCATCTCAACGCTGGGTCTCGATGGTGTTTCCTCCGACTCTCAGCGCGCTCTCGCTGAAGCTTCCAAGGTTGAAGGTGTCAAGCTCTTCGTTCCCTCTGAATACGGTGGCCCCACTACCGATGGTCCACAACAGGAATCGATGGTTCATAAAGTCGTGCTTCAGGAGAGGTTAAAGGAGATTGAGTTGCCGTATACCCTGATCTTTAATGGTCCTTTGATGGAGATTTGCATAAGACCGTCAGTCCTTTCGCCGTCCTCTTGATATTGTATGCCTGTGTATACTCATGTTTCTGGGTACAGTATCATTGGTATTGATCTTGCTAACGGGAAGGGAATCGCCGGCGGAGACGGCACGATGCCTATCTCATGGACTGCAATTTCGGACGTCGCATCCTTCTTGGCTCATGTCCTCACGAGCCTGCCGCCTTCCGAACTCGAATGGCGCACCTTTCGCATTGAAGGCGAACGAGCCGTAAGTTATCAACACTTCGTCATGTCCCTCCCGTCCCTCTCACTGACTCTACTATCCAGTCGATGAGCGATATCTACCAAGCTTACGAAAATAAAACCGGCAAGAAAGTCGAGGTCACATATCGCTCAACACCCGAGCTTCAGGAGCAGGCTGAAAACCAATCCCTACCCGCAAGACCGTGCGAGCTTTTGGCAACTTTTGTGGGCGCTGGGGATGGGTAGCGTTGGGAGGCCTGAGCAGCTGTCGAATGGGGTATGGCCTGAGTGGGATCCGACAGGGATTATGGATGTTGTTGCACCTTGAGCTGTGTCGCCCGTTCAAGTGATACTGTCGTTAATATCATCCTTTCTCGACGGTACTGGTTTTCAAGCGTGAGTAGAATCAGTGTAGGACTTCGTTCTCCGCCAAATAGTGTAATCAGTGTGGGTGACATGTATATTTCTTTTCGTTCTCTTCTTTGACGCCTCGATCGCTGACTCGTATGTCCTCACAGGTTTCTATGCTATTGATAACGATTTATTGTACAACGACCGAGCTCCCTCTTGCATTTATTCCTTCCTCGCGAGGCAAGAACCTTTCAGGTCTTCCAGCACCACATTGAACGCCCCGTATTCGTCGGATGAAAAATGTGCACCAGGCGTTGTGGATCAACCTGGTAAGCCCGGTTCTGTCCACGCTTGGTTATATGGGATCAAATTCTTCGCACGTCCAGCATCTCCTCCTTACTATCCATTTCAGATTGTAGGGAAAGTGGAAACCCTCCCGCATGTCGCATGGTGCAATTCAGGCCCGCCGCCATTTGTGTGTAGCGGATATTTATGACACTCATACCTCTTAGAGCAGTTGTCGACGTACGAGGTATTCGGGACCACGGACGAGAGTCAAACATGGTGTGGTGCAACGCAGAGAAAGACACCGCCAGAACAGTACGCCAAAGGACGGCTACGAGCAACTGATATCACTTCGTCTTTCACGGCATCCAGCACCTCGAAGACTCCATCATGAATCGCTTTTCTTTACACGACGATCTGCTAGACCTGAAAACCATGATGTTCAGATCATTCAAGTCGGCGGAGATAGTCTTCCGTTCAGTGTGCTAGACAGCGATGGGAGGCGAGACACGTCCGGAGGAAGCGGTGGTTCTCGTAGCGAAGATGCTCATAGCTGGGTACTGCACCGTGCTCGCGACCATGTATTTCATGAGCAATGCGGGTACGCGGCGTAGATAGAATAAAAGCTGATCCTAAGAAAAGCGAGACGATCCTAGACGGACAGTCGTTGGGATACAAATTTGTTCTGCTCAATATCCATAGCATAGCGTTTCCGTACTCGCTGGTATCTACATAGAGCCAACATCAAGGTAACGTCGTGCACTGTAGCATGGAGCTTTCAAGTGTCTGAGACGAAAAACCAAGCAAAGTCAGTCCGCAAGATCGGATGTTATAGCACTTTTGTAGCACTCAGTCAAGTTTCCCTTGGAAGTATAGAGACTCAATCGAAGCAGAGTTTCGTCGGGGTGGCCGTCAAGTGTGAACGTTCACAGCACGCATACTGACACACCATCGGAGTACGATGGCGGTGTGCTAAACAGAAAATGGCGGGAGCTTACATCGACGACTATCGACGATCGAGAGGAAGCGATGTGTGAGATAAGATAAGATCGACAACCCAATCCGTCCGACATCGTCAATGGTTCATGTGCAACAACGATGAACTCGGGATGATCGTTGTCTGTAGCATGCTCGTCATTCGACACGAACTCTTACGCGGCTATGTGACATTAGCAAAGTCTCGATATCTACACCTCGTTTGTCCTCCGACGCGTCGACGCTACGTTCACACGATGTTATACCACCCGATTATCCGCTCCTTCCGCTCCCCAAGGTCGTGCACTCTCAACTACTCTTAGAGATAGCAATAATCAGGGCATGAGACACTCGCTAGAGGAGGCGAGTACTATGGGCCAACGGGAATGGGCAAGTTGGAGGTGAACGTGGCGCAGGCGAAGGCTTTTTGACTTCGAGCAGAAGGAAAGGTCAGTTGTGACGGGAAGGGACAATCTGTGAGACTCTGACCGAGAATTCCGCGATAGAGAAGGGCCATGAACGTTTGAACCGTTCGTTCTACGAGGGGTGGACGAGTTTTGAGGTTCATATAGTCCAGATGGATCTATCCTCACTCGGTACGTCCTTTTCTGACGTTCATTATTTTCTTTGTTTCTTTCGTTGCTCTATCACGTACTTGGAAAAGTTTATGACTTCCTCTTGTTTTTATTCGCCCCGGTATTAAATCCAGAAACTAATATTCGTGCAGCACCTTGTCGACCTCCCTCGTCTTTCATTGTCTCACTACACCTTTCCCCCCTCTTCCAACGCTATTCGTCCCCTCTCGCACGCCCTTATCCGTCTCTTACCCTCTCCTCCGCACCACCTACGGCGCCATGACTCCACGGCCCTTTTCCTCCGTCATAATACCTCATTGATCTGTCTCGCTTGGAACCCATCTCGATTGCTGTTTCCACGTACCAAGAGGTTGTAGCAGCGTAAGTACACCGCGAGGAGGTCGTTGAGGAGTATGTAGCCTGGGACAAGGGTATTAATGGTACGGTGGAGCTACGCGGAATGGACGATCCTATGAGCGGATTCTTCGAAAAACGCCGCTGCTCTCGATAATACGACCCTCACATCCACCCGCTCTTCGACATCACATCCACCAACATCGGCTCCATCTTACGGTACATCAAGCTCGCTATCTCCGAACACTGCCAGTGCCTCTCCGTCCTCGCTCCATCTTCGCCTCTCCCTTCCCTCCGTCATACACCCGATTCGAATCCGACTCCGAAGCTCGCGGTCAAACCTCCACGAAATCCGGACCCCCATTGTAATCTCAGTTACACTCAAGACCATTACAGTCGTCCGAGCCATGTCATCTGGCTCGTCACGCCAACGTTACTACCAAGAACAAATCTACTCACATTGACGGTATGCGTAGAGATTGGGCCGTTGTGCAGCGAGGTCACGGTGAGTATCAGTTCAGCCTCTTCAGTTATATATTTCCGGCTTTTTGTCTCCATCGTGGGTTGTGGCACCCTATATACTCGTGCAAGGTGTTGTTTGCATCGCGTCTGGTCTGTTGTGGTTGCAGAGCTGGACCTCTGCCGTCGTCGCAGATTTCGGTGAACGTTGAATGCGTACCACCGTACAGCCTTGATCGTGCTCTGTGAAAAAGGCTCATTCTGGTTGTCGACTGACCGGCTCGTTTCTCGCCTCCTGCCATTCATCGGCGTGAAATCACCTCGCGTTCAGCAGGTGTGCAGTCATTCTCCTTCGTCCCTATCTATGTGTTTTCCTCCAACTCCTCCATTAAACTCACTCATCATAATTTCATACACTAACAACTCCTCTCTGCTATAAAATCCACTCCTAGGTCGACGACCTCAAGGCCTATCTCCGCCCGAGCCGCTTCTCGATTCTCGCCTCCGTCTTCCATCCCCGATTACGATTCGAACTCCGCTACTCAGGTCCACTTGAACGCGAGGACGAACTTAGACGCACTGAAGTGGAGTTTTTAGGCAGAGAGGACTATCGAGCGAGTAACGCACAGAGGTAAAGGGACGCGAGGGGGAGCACAGAAGTGAAGCGTGCGGCAGGAAGAGAGGTGGTAAATGCGAGAGCGGACCGTTTTGGGTGTTCTGGGTGCGTGCATAAACTAGTTGGTGGGATGGGCGTGAAGTCGGATGAGGAAGGTGTGACTGGGGGATGAGACCTTTCAGGGGCAAAAATGAAAAGGACGGGAGTTGGACGGTTGACGGAATTCATGAGGAAGGCAACGCGAGCAGTTGTTGTGTACGAGGGTAGCCGCGAGGAGATGAGCGAAACGAAGCGTTATGCGTCAGTGGCAAAGGATGTGGGTAGTGATGGGACGACGTACCTTTCGCATACTGTCGACGATACACGACCTGAGAATGTGAGGCAGAACGAGAAGGTGGTACGGAGGCCAAAAAGTATAGAGATAGATGCGTGGAGATGTGCGCGTATTGTTATGGTCTGCTCCGGTCCGTCCTCATCTCTATCTCCCCCTTTCCCCACGGCTACCACGGTATTTGCCCACCGCTAACATCTCCACATCGTTCAGACTTGTACCAACGAATATCGCTGCTCATCTGATTCATCTCGATTTCGTCAGCAGGCCTCGGTCAACTCCACCATGCCATCCGCTCCCTCTACTCCGACACACGCTGCAAATGCTCCGACGACGTTTCCTGAAGAACATATCCTTGTTTGAGATGGATGTTATTGAACGTGTATTCGAAGGAATCGGGGGGAAATGCAAGCGCCGGACTTTCAGTGGCAAGACTACGCTTTGGCTAGGTCCAAGGGGCGATCGGCCGTCAACGTTGAATTTTTCTCCTGAGGAGGCCGGAGCTCGAGGGGAACGGGCCTTGAATATGTAAGAAGGATCTGAACCGAGCGGAATCGTTGGTCTGCGACGTTAGAATGTTCGACGGGTGGGGGAAAAGGGGTGCTGGGTGGGTGGCGTAGTATGGCGCCACAAGCGAGATTGGGTCGAAGTCGTAGTGGTGCTGCATCATATCTGGGCTCACGCCAAGTATATCGAGGACAGATCACCATCACCACCAGAGACCGGATCACCCATAGCTCCTCCAACGATGCGAGTTCCGAGCGAAACCTCCTACGCGAGCTCGGCAATACCGCACAATGCATCCACCGCGCACCCCCTTCCGGCGCTCATCAAAAATCAACGCCACGACCTCGCTGTATACCCTATTCATGAAATACACATCGCACTCGACAATCATTTCGGAATATCCAGACGACTCGATTGTCCCTAGCAGCGTAGAGCCGTCCCCTTCATGGTCAAGAGTTCAAACGGCGTGAATTGGCTATGAACAAAAGTGGGTTGGATAGGAAACGCAGCAGCAGCTGACGAAGGACGGGATATCGACGTACAATTGGAATGGCTTGGGCTGGATGTGCGCTATGCAAATGTTCACTAGTTGAGGTGCGCTCATCGTATTCTTTTCTATCACATACGACACTTGGAAGATTTTCTCTATGAGGCTGTTGCTGCTCGATGGTCAGCTGGTGGGCTTGGGCGATAATATGCGCAGTGCCGCTTATTTTGCTGGTCCTCATGGGCGTTTCTGCTCCCAGACCGCCGGACACTTCGTCTTTTCGCATGCTATCTCGGAGCCCGTCTTTCTTGGTTTCGCCATTTTGCTCACGTTCTTTGTCTTTTCACCATCGGGGAGTTTTCCTGGACCACCGTACGTGCTTTCTCAGGTCCTTCACCCTTCTCCTATTTGACCTGATTTGATAGTGGGCGGCCCTCGAAGAACGTACGACGCCACCGTACACGCTCACCCTGAAATCGAACGGCTGCATCATCTTCATCGGTGTACTTACACCATCCAAGCTCCTCACCACTTCGAAACATTCGGTATGATTTTGCTCTCTTTGATCATTTCTTTCGTTTCATCGTCCCCCTTGCCGACCGTCTCGTCTTGTTATCCCTATCTCGTCCTTTTGCCCTTTCCTCTTTCCGTCCCTTTGGCATCTGTAGCTCCCAGTCCCTATTCCGTACTCTTTCTACTGTTCTCCCCTCCTCATTCGTGATGACTTTCCTTCTCTGCTCCGTTTCTCGTTCCCACTCTTCGTCCCGTAGCGAACCATCCCTACATCTCGTCCCACCTCTCCCTCTATCCTCTCTTAGTCATGGGCATTGGCGTGGACTAACCTACCCCTTCCATCTTTACGGGTCTCATCCAAGGCGTCCCGGAGTCACACGCCCGAGTCGGCGAGCGGTGGCTCGTGCAACAACCCGCGAGCGTGGGGAAGACGATGGAGGAGTCGGCGAGTGTGTTTTGAGAGGAGGATTGGACTGTTGTGGCTGAGGTGCGTTTTGTCTCCTTTCTATCTTGATAACGTCGGTCGCATGCGAGTTGTACTCGTCGATCTTATATTCAACTAGGCGCGCACGTAGCCATTCGTCCAGTCCTCCCTTCCGTCTTTGTTCCGTGCATTCGCGGTATAATGACCACGCACTCCCTGCATCGACCACCCAGCTCTGCGACGACTCCTTCGAATAACACCTCCTTTCCTGCTCAAAAGACAAAACGTCCTCCACCTGCACGGCCCGAACACCTGCTCGCACCACTTCGGCACCCAACCACCCTCCATCATCAACGCTTTCGCCTCCACATGGAGCTTCATGCCTACCGCCTCCACGACCCTCCACACCGTTGCGGAAGTCAAAGCGTTCACCGAACAAATTGGTAAAGAGTGAAAGTGGCAAGGCGAGACGTTGGAGGGGTTTATCGTTAGGACCCGTGTGGCACCGCGCACGCGTAGGGAAAAGGGGCAAGAGATAAGGGATAGAGAAAGTCCGTATGTATGAGCCCGGAAGCTCATTCTTCTTCGAAGTGAAATTCGACTAGCCGACTGGTGCCAAGTCACGAAGGCGCTGCCCACGGCGTATGCGAAGGGCGGGGCCCAGGGAATGGACGAAGCGAGGTTGCCGAAGAGCAAGATGGGGAGGATGGAGATAAGGAATTATGTGAAGTGGGTGACAGGCGAGATTGAGCGCGATGTGGGAGCGTTTGAGGGGTTTGGGAAGGGGTTTGGGAAGGGGAGGTGGATTATTGAGACGAGGGAGAGGTTTTTGAGATGGTGTCAGAGTAAATCAGGAGCGGGAGAGCGGGGGAGAAGAGGGGAAGAAAGAGAAGATGGGTTTGGGAAGACGGTCATCGTGTCGATCGCGGTTCCGGGTGTTGGTGCGTAGCTGGCTCTCTTTTCCCTTACTATGGCTGATATTGCCTCCGTGTGCACGAACAGGAACAGCATCCATCGCCGTCGTACTCGCCCATATGTTCGGCTGAGGGCATACACAGGGTGACGACGCGAAGGGAAAGAAGGCGGCGGAACGTGCAGGCGTTGTTGAAGGGGCATGTTGTTGTCATCGCTGACAAGTGAGTGTTCACATTCATCCACCTTTCATCCTTACCTTCCTTCGTTTGCGACCGTTCGGCCACACCGTCTGCAGATACGACCGGGCATCCGCTGAACTTGAATTTTAGCTCCTCTCGCTCGAGCTGAGTACTCATCCGCTGTATCCTTCCACGGAACCGCGGTGGAATATTGGGATTCAATGTGCCAGTCCATAAATTTACGAGCTGCCGAGCGGAGGAGTCTCTGGTTCCTTGGTTAGATGAGGGTTCGCGAGTCGGAACGACATCTGGAGTCGGGACTGCGTAGGTACGGAGATACGGCGGCCGTGGTGATCACGATGAGACGAGATGATAAGGAGAGGGCGAAGGTATAGAGGAAATTGTGGTCGGTCCGATGTCATGCGTGTGTGTTAGTAATGGTGGACAGACTGAAGGTGGAGCGCGGGTCAAGTTGTTGAAGGATACTACGGTCGATTACGAAGTACGCCCTCTCCGTCGTTTGTCGTCCAGAATATAATACGAACTTCGGTGCAACCGTCCACAGCATATTCACCAGCGAATAGAAATATTCTGCGCCCTCTCCCACCTCAATACCCTCATGGTCTTCGGCCTGTCGCCCTTCGATGCACATCCACTTCTCGTCGTGCAGGAGTATATGGATAGGGGCTGTGTGCTGCAGTATCTCAAGGCGAATCATGGTACAGAAGCAAAGGTGGATAGTGCACACTTTGTCAGTCTCCTTTCATCGTTTCCTGATCCGAGTTCCCCGCTTGGATATCAGTGCTTCTGTGCGATTTTCACGCTGTCTCTCCCGTCGTCTCCTGCCACAGTAAAATGTTGTTGCATTGTCACCTTTATGAGACCCCCGTACGTCGCTCGGATGCCTCGATTTGGTTACGCAATTGATGTTCGTCGTATGAGCTTAGTGGTGCATACTCGGAATGTGGTCGCCTACGAATCGCTCAGTGGGCAGGCCCCCGGTTTAACACAGGAACCGAGAGCCACAAGAATGTATTCTAGCAGCGCCACCCGTGTCTTCAACCGGGACGCGTATATGTATCCCTTCCGTTGCGACGATCCTGTCATCCGTGGCCACATAATTATCTTCTCTTCCTTCCTAAACTTCTTTCTCTGTTCGATTTTTCACATTATGGGCTCAAAATGACGGGACGGTCCAGGAGCAACGACCCAGATAAAGGTTTGATAGAAAAAGGCCCACTGATCGTCGAGAACAAGGACGATAACGTTGGTGCGTTCTCGTCCATCCCATGTACCTGTCTCGCAAGGCTGTTCGCGTTTGCTCAATTCCTTCTCGATTTTTAATGTAGCGCGCTCGGATTTACGGCAAGACCTAGCTCCATCAACGCCAATAAACGTTTGGAAGGACACCGGCCACTCGTTCTTGAGAACGAGGCAGAATGTATTGGTGAGGTTCCGCTTCTAGCACCCCTTCTCGAAAATGTCTTCACGTTTGCTCAATTATCGTTCGATTTTCAATGTAGCGGGCTCGAAATGACGGGACTACGCAGATGCACGAGTCCACATTGGTGGGTTTTGTTTAAGTTCCTAATAGCCTGTTCTGAAAATGCGTTCGCGTTCGCTCAAATATCCTTCGATTTCCAGTGTCGTGGCCTCAAAATGACGGCACAGGTATGTACCATCACTCACAACGAATATTTTGAGAGAAACGACCCATGCATCGTCTAGAACGCGCACGAACAGCGAGGTGAGTTTCACTCTCAGCACTCCCCCTCCTCGAAACTCTGTTCGTTCTCGCTTAGTTGCGGTTCGTTCTTGTTATGGACTATAATTTTCGTCTTCTTTTCTGCTCGACATGTCTGATACCGCAGGAGACGCGGATGTGCAGTCTCAGTTTCCTTTTTATTTAACTACATACACATCATCCACTCATACGGCCGGTTGATGAACATTCTATGGACTTGTAGACGTGTCTCGACTCCTTTGTATTCTCGACTACGGACTACCTCGTTTCTCATAGCCTAGGACTGTGCTTCATAGCCTTGCATAGGCTTTGTACTATATTTATTGGGTACAGGATTCCGCAGCGACTACGGACTGGGGCACAGTACTAACACGACTCGGTCTGACTTACTTATTAGTTTCATAGCCTCCTGCGGCTGCGCATGTATGTACTATATAAGGACGACCCTAGTAGAGGGGAGTTCTTTAACCTATTCATCTCTGATTTACCTCGTCTATCTGCTCGTACTTGAACTAGTCCTTTCAGCAGGACTAGCTTCCCTTATCGACATCAAGAACCTT